AATCTTTTCTTATAATTAGATTGTGTTTGCAAAATAAAAACACTAAATCACCACAATACACCAAAACACTTTTACTTTTACACTGGACGCGCGTTTCGCTAACAATGTTAGCATCATCAGCAGATGATTATAAACTGAGTTTATAATCATCTGCTGATGATGCTAACATTGTTAGCGAAACGCGCGTCCAGTGTAAAAGTAAAAGTGTTTTGGTGTATTGTGGTGATTTAGTGTTTTTATTTTGCTGTGTAACACCAAAGGTTCCAACCCTCAACTGTAATAGATTGTGTTTGTAAAATAGTGGTATTGTCAAAATCGAAGTTATGGCCTGTCTCTATTTTGTGTTCTACTAATGCGGTAGGAATAGATTTCAAAAGAAAGTTCCTTTGATCATTTTTATGTTCATTCAATCTTTGTTTTAAATATCTACCGGTCTGCCCAACATAGCTTTTAGGACATTGAGTACAAGGAATGTTATATATTATGCCGGATTTCAGTTCTTTTTTATTCTTTGATTTTGTTTTTGAAAAGAACCGTCTCTTTATGGTGTTATGACTCCTTGTTGTAATTTTTATTTTTTCCTGTTTTTTTGTAGTATGACCCTTAAATGTGTTTTTAATTTGTTCTGACAGACAGTCGATATAAGGTATTTTACAATAAACTTCTCTATCATTTTGGTTAGTAGATTTTACAACGGTTTTCTTGTTAAGAATTTTTTTAATCATAGATATTGGATAATTATTTTTAATCAACATGCTTTCGATATATTTTAAATTTTTATTATGAAAATTAATTGATGATAGTGATGTAGCTCTGATTTTCAGGTTATTAATAACATTAATTTTTTGTTTCAAAGAATGTTCGGAGGAATAATTGAGAAATCTCTCAGAGAATGTCGGCTTGTGATACCAATCTGTCTCTATTAATTGATTGTGTCTAATTAGTCTCACGTCAAGGAATGCTATGCTGTTGTTTATTTCTTTCTCCAATGTAAATTGTAGTTTAGGGTGATAACAATTAAATATGTCTAATATACTTTGTTCTTGATTAATAGGAATTGAAGTTATAATATCATCAACATAACGTTTAAAAAACGGCAATTGAAAAGGAAGTTTTTTAATACATTGATCCTGTAAATCCTGCATAACTAAATCAGAACAAATCGGTGATAAACAATTACCCATTCCCAGTCCATATATCTGTTGATAAAACTCATCTTGGTATTGAAAGTAGTTGTTATCAAAAATAAATGTTAACAGTTCAACAAATCTATGTAAGGGAATTTTTATTTCATTTTCTATAAGATGCCATTTCTTATTAACTATATTAATTACTATATCTGTAGGAATGTTAGTAAAAAGTGATATAACGTCCAAAGATATGAGTTGATAATCTTTAGGTAATTTAATGCTTTTTATATCATTAACAAATTCAAATGAATTTCGGACATAACTGTCGTTCTTGACAAACATACCATTTAAAAGAGATGCTAAAAAACCTGTCAGAGAGTACAGAGGTGATCCCACAAACGATACTATGGGTCTGAAAGGTCGATTATTTTTATGTATTTTTGGCTGAAAATAAATCTTCGGTGGATTAGCAGCACCAGTTTTTAATTTCTTTTAGTTCTTTTTAGTTTTTAATATCAATAAAGTTTGGTGATCAACCATGAGAACCTGACGCTTGTTACTCAGCTTTGCTCGTAGAATCACACTATATCACGTGGTTTTATTGAACCGCACCAAACATCTGGGAGGGTTAATTTTGAGTCTAGGGGGGCTAAGCCCCCCCTAGTTGCGCCACTGGTCACCGTATTATTAAATCAATTTAAATTTAACTAAGATCATAATTTATTAAGATACGAGATACATTTTATTTCTTGAGAAATCTGGCCACTGATCAAGTCTCTGGTCACTGAAGAAGTGCGTTATTCACTCGAAGTAACATTATTCTGCGTAAAAGCTATTAAAATATCAAAATCTAACTTTAAAAAGACCAGTTTAATAGTATACTTAGCGGTATACTTGAACTCTTTGAAGTTGATGGCATGTGTCCATCAGGAGTTAACCATTAGCAAGAGAAGTGCGTTATTTGCTTAGAGTAAGATTATTTTGCGTAAACACATTAACAATATCAAAATCTCACTTCAAAAAAGCTACTTTAGTGGAATATTTGAGCACTCGGAACAATTTTAAATAGTAACTATCAATTTCATTTTCGCACATTTCACACTTCGTTATTACAACTTGAGTTACAAGTTGATACAATAAAAATTTACGAACTGACTGACTGTAGTTTATGTCAAACATCTAAACAATTTGTGTTAGTAGAACAGCACTTCATCCGCATCAGGGAATTAGGAATAATCCTCAAATATGCGCTGCACCAGTGACATAGTTCCGCTCTGGAGCAGATTAAACCTGTCAATTTGGAGAAAAGCCGAAACGGTTCGGTTTCGAATGCGTCGGTCTGCACCTGAGCACGGGCCACTCTGTCCGTCCCGAAACGCATTCCCGTCGGCCGTACATAAATTCCAGCCCGTCGTGGCCGTCGACAGACAATTTCGGAATATATTTCGGGAATCTTGAATTTGGAACATGGACGGTGTTTGGGCAAAATACATATACATGCGTTTACGAAGTTTGGCCAGAGTTATTCAAGCTTGAATATGCAAGCATATGTGTCAAGATTTTTTCGTTAATTTATGCTTACGTCTCCAAAAGACAGGAATAAATACAGAAAATAATTTAATCGTTTTAACTTAATAGTTATTTTTTATCCAAAACGATGAAATGGTATTTTATCGTCGACCGAAAAGATTAATTCACGAGTGATGAAATCGCGAGTGAATTAATTTCGGGAGACGATAATGCAATTTTATCGTCGTGTATACAACAATATTTTTTTCCATAGCGAGTTACGTTTTAAAAAATATTCAGAAATTATTATTTCAAGGAATTTATTACGAGTAGAAAAAATATTGTGCTGGGTTGGCGTTGGTTTCTATGTAATTTGACAAATAAGTAAAGCTGTCTCTTTAGTTGTCAGTTTTGAGTCAATAGCTTTTAATTCTCTTTCGCGTCGATTGCTGATTGAACTGGAGCCAGAAAATGGCTCAAAAAGAAATAAGTAAATTACCAACAGGTATTCAGGCTGAGGCGACACCATATCCTGAGGCTAAACGCCATATCCAAACTACTTCCATTTAAATACCGAATAACTTATGAAAAAGAATAAAAAATTTTTCAAAAATCGAAGCAATTAAAAAACGTGCAAGAAGAAACAAAAGTTTTTAACCTATCCTCGCTGTTAAAGTATCATTTAATCTTCCCTTGTGGTTAAAGTACTATTTTATCTACAATTTTTGATAGATATAAGGCAAACAGTTGCTATGGAAAAAAAATAAGTAGGTCTAAAATGAGGAAATTAAAATAACTTTGGTTGCATCATAATACGACCACCAGCAAACTCCATAAGACGACGCATGGCGTCATTGATGACGTGCACCCAGAGTTGTTTTAATTTCCCAATATAGTAAAAAATGGGTACATTATGACGATGCGTTCTGTAGCTCAGGGGTATGCGTAAGGGGGGAAACAAACTTATCTGTTAGCGAGCAATTTATGGGCGCGCTACAAATGTTTTAAATAGCGTTAATTACTTATACAAAAATTTCAAAAATACCAAACCATTTTTATTTTCAGAAGGAACGACATATGGTTGTAATGGAGTCCAAATACAGATATTTTTCTTATGCGATTTTATAATTATTTATTATACGCATTACAGAGATTATGTGTTTTAGGTATAAATGTAATAACAGCCACTGCCCATACCCCCTAACCTAACCTAACCTAACCGAAGAAAAATGTTACTAGCAAACGTTTTTTTCTCCTTTTTCCACAATGGAATACATATTTTCATGTTTTAATTGGTTATAATAGTATAGTCAGCAGGTATATTATAGTCAGGTACAGTATAGTCAGGTATAGCCAATTTTATAAATAATGAATTAAAATTCCGCGGGTAGTGATTGATGTGGTAGTGATTCCGGCTAGCGTTTTTAACTAAAATATATGTTTTTATCGGCAGTTGAGATTTTAAACCCATAAGAACGCGTTGTACTTAACTGATTTATATATTTTTATTTTCAGAACCATGATATAGAAATAAAAATCTATATTTCAAACAAAAATATTTTGTAGCAACAATTAAGGATATATAGAAGGGACATTAAAAATATGAAATTAAACGATGACTTTGCTTTTGCCAGACATTTTTTGTGCGAGAAAATCTAAAGAGAAAGATTTTAAGACAAAAAAATTATGGCGGAGGTCGACATTGTTGATGGTTGTTTTCATTTTGAAATCCACACACAGACATAGACTATTTTAGTTTGGTGTTTTGTTTCTACAGATTTAGATATAGTGGCTGCTGAAAACGGGAACATCTTGGACACAAATTGCAGAAAATGTTTTGAAACATTTGCTCTAAAAGTTTTCATTTTGCATCGAAACATTTCAGGAAACGGTTAGTACCACCACAGTGGAAGCACATGTAATAAAGTCATATAAAATATATAGGTTTTGAAAATGTTTCCTATTTGTGACATACCATTTCCATTTTGTATCAAGAAACAGACACCATTATTAGAAACATTACCTAAAATGTGTCCAAAAATTCTACTTGGGCAAGAAAGGGGGCAAATATATCTGTAAGGTCGCGGTGATTATCTTCCCCTCTCCCTTACAATCTACAAGATATCGTAACTACTAGACAGCAAATTGATCCCAAACCCAACAAACAGCAGTATCTAACATCTCCGAAATCACACTCGTACACATTCTAGGAAATATACGTCACAGTGCAAAATACACCTCTTGCGCGACTCCTCGGCCGTCCGTCGCGGCCGCGTCTCCCCCTCCTCCCCCCGCCCTTCCAACTCCACCCACCTCGACTCTCTTGCTTCTCTCAGTTTCATCTGGACGGCCAGCGGCAGCAGCATCCAACACCACCGACCAAACTGCGGAAAGCCGGCAGCGAGTCTACACATCCAGCAGGCAGCGACGACTTTTCGTCGCTCGTCGTACGATTCTAGCGGTGGTGGGGAGGGTTTCGGCCGCCCCACGGTTAGTAGTGCACGTCACCGGTTCGTGGCGCGAAGTTTGAATTTCGCGAGCGAACGGACTAGGAGTTTGTTGAGTTTCTCGCAGTGTTTTTTGGGATGTTTGTTGAATCACTGTAAAGTTGGTTAGTGAAAAAAACTGTTGAGGTTGACTTCTGAGGTTCTAGATATTTTTTTTCGTTAAAGTACGTATGATTCTTTTTCTGAAAGTTTGAATTTTTTTAAAACATTTTGAACAATATTAATATCACTGTCTTTATAAAGTTTAAGTAATATTTTTAAAACTTCAGTGTTTTCACTTATATCAGAATAAAATATCTGCTATGCTATTTAAAACTAACACAATATATAGAGTGAGTCTTAAATAAGTGCACATATTTTCAAAGTTGGTAGAACTCGATAAGAAGCATATTTTCTCTTTACCGTTTTTTAAATAACTACAAAATAGCTGTGCTATTTTACTTTAAAAGAAATTAGAAACTACAGCATTTTTTGTGTTTCTGCTTTTCTAAATTTAATCCACGCCCTATTTGGCAATAATATCAAGGTATTTTGTTTTTAAAATTTAAAAAAAATCTTTTTTTTATATATATCTTTTCATTTTTTTGCAAGAAAACCTCATAGACGTGTTGTTGGGATTAAAAAAACCGCCCCTAAAAATATGTTCAATTATTTATGATTTACCCTGTATATTTTTATAAATATGACTTCGACGAGAAATTCTATATAAATTACTATCTACAAATTTAAAATATAAATTCACTCACAGAACATCGTAATCTATTGGTGTATGATCTCCGCTTTATTGTTAATATATATCTTAAGCATAAAATTTGTATAAATCATTTGTATAAACTTTGAATAACGTGTTTTATAAATATCGTATAAACTATATTTGATAAACTGAGATTTTAAAAATTTTAATATGGAAACGCCCATTTTTGACATATTTTATTCAATGTCAAAAATTTAAGTGAGTTTTTTTAAAGTTGATTAATTTTAAATATTATTATTTTTATTGAAAACTATACATGTCAACGTATTTTTTTAACATAAAAATGCTATATCTTAAAACATGGAAGTATACAGTATGTCCCCGGATTGTTTTTACAAAAGGAAAACTTTTTTATTATTGACATTTTGAGAAAAATGCATTCTTCATAAAAAAATTGCTTGTTATAAAATTTTTAATCCCATTTATACTTTGCTAAATTTCCATACCGTTTTATAGAAAATAAAAAAAACATGAAAATATGGTTGCTGCTTGAAAATGTTAAAGAAGCACAACATTTATTTATGTTAATGCCATCGATAGGGTGATAATAGTTATCGGAAAATTTTATTTTAATAAATAGAAAAAATATGACGTTAATCAAAATTAATAATAACCATCTATATATCAAAGAATTAAATCGAAATTCTATTACCATATTTAGCTTTTTCATATTCACGAATAAAAAATTCAACCATATTTTCATGATTTTTGTAATTATCTCTAAAACGGTATGAAAACTTGGAAAGTATAAAGGGATTATAACCATTTTAGAACAAGCAAAAATATTTATGAAGAATTCATTTTTCTCAAAATGTCAATAATAAAAAAGGTTTTCCTGTACTAAAGACATTTCGAGGACATACTGTATATTTTAAAAATTATAGAGCAACTTTATTTTTGATATATATTGACTCAAAAATTCTGAGTGTTTTGTCAGTGAATTGAACATTTTGTGTAAAATGCCTCTGCGTCCAAACGGAAACCAGCTTATCAACCAACATAAAATGCTTAACGTTTCTGGTGATATATTACTCCTGTCGCCAAAAGCAAAAAACAAAACAAGAAGAATAAAGAAAAGCTATTTAAAATGTGTGTCTAAATATAATTACTAAACAGACACGTCTATTAAAAGCGTTGATGTTTTGATAAATTGACATTATCTTAATGTAATATTAGTAGATTCTTACAATTTGTTAAAAGTTTGTTATAAATTGGTATTTTTATAGAAAACAATAAAAAGTTTTTCTACACTATTTTTAAAAATTATTTTATTTTATCATTTGCATGTCCGGAATGATTTTATATTTTCTACTAGCGTGTACCAGCGACTTCGTTTGCGTCGAATTAATCATTTGTAATAGTGATGATAAAGCAAAGCAAGAATTTCCATTAACATACAAACTGGATAAAATTTTCTCACATTTATGTCAGCATGAGAAAAAACAATATGGCGATATTATTATATAAATTGGTAATATTTGAGGGGTAGTTTCATCTCGTTGGAATTTGATTTTCGAAAAATTCGTTTACCAAAAATAAGCTTTTTACGTCAAGCAATTTAAGCAGAATCGTGGTTAAGAAATTACCCAACTTTTTGGAACACCCTGTATGATTTTTTAAAAAATTTCAAAAGATGTAAAAAAACCAAATAAATTATGCTTGTCCAAGCATTTTCCCGAAAGACTAACCGTTTTTTAAATAACAAATATTGTAATATTTGAGGGGAGTTTTCACCCTCTTGGAATCGAGATTCGAGAAACCCCTCCTTATCGAACCTCTACACCCCTAAGTCAATCCGTTTACCAAAAATCAGCTTTAAACGTCAAGCAGTTTAAGCAGAATCGTGATTACTCAATGTTCATATTTTATGAAACACCCTGTATAAATTTATAAAAAATCTTAAAATATGTAAAACAACAAAATAAAATATACGTGTTTAAGAGTTTTTACGAAAAACTCACCGGTTTTTAAATAAAAAATATTTAAATATTTGAGGCATAGTTTCACCCCCTTAGAATTCGAATTTCGAAAAATCCCTTCTTATCGAACGTCTACACCCTAAAGTCAATCTGTTTTCCAAAAATCAGCTCTTTACGTCAAGCGCTTTAAGCAGGATCGTGATTAATCAATGACCAGATTTTTCGAAACACCTTGTATACATTTTTAAAAAATCTTAAAATATGTAAAAAAACAAAATAAAATATACGTGTTTAAGCATTTTTTCGGAAACTTGACCGTTTTTTAAATAAAAAATATTGTAATATTTGAGGGGTGGTTTCACCCTCTTGGAACTGGAATTTCGAAAAATCCCTTCTTTTCGAACCTCTACATCCTAGAATCAACCTGTATGCCAAAACTGAGCTTCTTACGTTGAGTGGTTTGAGCAGGATCGTGATTAATCAGTATGTCAGTCACTTAAGGATTTTATATATTAGTATAGATTTTAATAATTTTTGATTTTTAAACTTATACGTCAGTTTTTAATAAATTACGCATAGTATTCGAAGCGACTGAAATTATTATCAATACTTGTTTCTAAAACTACTTTTACTACTAAGAAATTAAGAATATCTATATATAAAAACAATACTCACTTTACCTCAAAATAAAGACAAGAAGACTGGCAAAACAGTAGAGGGTCAACTACAAACTTAACAAGGCTCTGCAAACTTAATAGGCATCAAAAGCTGACGAGATTGATGGACGAAGCAAAGTGCAGATTTTGTCAATCTGAAAAAGAAAAGACAGAATACATTTTTCTTATATTAGGCAATGGTTATATAATTTTATATAAGCCATTGACAAAGAGCTACATAGAGGGTTCAGTATCCAAGTTATTAGACTTTTTGAAAAGCCAGGGCCCGAACCCTGTAACTTAGAAAGCGCTTTTAGCCGCTCAGCGTATATGACGTTAATTTTCGCTTAGTTTTTTTTTAAGTTTCGCTTAATTTCGCGCACTTAACTACCGATTTGGGTATTCTCATCTGACGCGCTTAGCGTCTTTACCCATTGCGCTCAGCGATTTGAAAACGGCTATCTTAAATGATCGTTTTGCTTGTCGAACTCTCGGTAAAAATAAAGAAATTTTGTTTTTCTGCGTTCTCTTGCTCTTTAGTGAAAACAACTTCTTCTATAAATTTCTCAATAAGGTAATTGATAAATTTACAACTTGGCAGCTATAAATATTGTTCAAAACATCGAAAATGCTGAGAAGCATCTTCAACATTTCCCTCGTATAATAAGAATAATGACACATGCATAGAAAAATATGTTGACATAACTCAACAATATGTTATGTAATTCACGTAACATTAACATTTTTCATTGTTTTATCCACATTTGACCATTAGATACCTGAGAAATTGCTATGCTGCCAATATGTGCCCAACGCGTATCCAGAAAACGATTCGCACGGCAACGAGAATACCAAAATCGACTGCTTGGCGTTCCGCTAATCGAATACTTTCGCTTACCGCTTTGAAAGCGTAACGTTTTTATGTTAAAGTTCCAGCGTTAGTTCCTTGTGTTAGTTTGTCATCTAATAATTGTAAATTGGATTGGGCGAGCAAAACACATAATAGGCCCATTTCTTCTGTCAAGTCATTTTTTAGTATATAATTTTCGTTTTTTTTCGTTATAAGTAGTAATAGGTAACGATTATAAGAAGACCAGACAAAAGTTTTTGTACTTTTTGATAAAATAGAAGCCTTGTATGAGGAAAATTCAACCGATGATTACAAATAGATTTATTGTAAAATAGAGTAATGCGAAGGCAATATTCAATTTCGATGCTCAGTCCGTAGAATCAAGCAATTCGGACGTGTATAGGTAGCATTTGATTAAAATAAACAAAAACTAAAAAAAAATTAAAAAAAAATTCGACTCTGTTTTTGTTATTTTTTTTTCGGTTGTCCGCCAACCAAAAAAAAGCAAACCAATTTAAAAAAGTGTTTCAATCAAATCGAACCGAGCGATTATTTTTTCCACAGATCCGACAGACATTGATTTAGGACACTTTGCGAACGGCTCTCTAAACTGTTTATCCACAGATAAATCTAAACCGGAAGTTGTGCAAACGTGGTGCCGCTGTGTGTGTGCGAAATTAAATTTGTAGAATGCACCGGCTTTTCTGGCCTGCCACCAAGGAATGCCGCTGCGCCGAGTGCGCTACTCGGCAGCCATACTATGTAGATTAACTCGCGTGTTCAACAAATCGCATCGAGGATGTCAATTTTATGCTGTGGAGTATTGCGGAGCGGCCCAAATATGTTGTCGTTTGGTGTAGGGACGTATATAGTAGCTAATTTCGTTTTGGTAAAACCGAACTCCTCTTGGGGTTATTAACAAAATATACTTAAAATCATAATTGTCTAGGATATGAGACGCATTTTATTTCTTGTAAAAATTGTG